TATTAGCCAGTACTCCTGGATTCTGCTGCCCTGAGGCCACCACCAAGCCAGGCTGATCACCTCATAACACCCATGACATCCCAAAGTAAAGTGTAGCTGGGTCAGACCAGCCATAAACTCTCTCCAGACCCAAGAATCACAGAGCAGAGAATGATTTGGGCTGGGGGACAGTGAGAAGGGAGACTGCCATCAATGCTCAGAAAGTTCATGGGATAGAATCACAGGCCTATTTGGCTCAGCAAGCCAGAGACTGAGTTGCAGGGTACAGAACCCAAAATATGTCTCTAAGGATCTTCTGGCATAATCTCACATCTATTCAGGGAAGAAACTATTTTCAAACTGGGACTCTCAATAATGAGTTCTTTCCACTAAGGCTTTCCAAGGAGGTAGGGTTAAAACCTGGGGCTGCTAAGGACCATCTTTGTCACCTAAAGCAGAAGCTTGTTGAGGATAAAGCTAACTCAGTGGAGAAATGGGAGATGACTAAGAAAATTATTTGAACACCTGGATGCAGCTAGGTCTGAAGCCAACGCAGCTCTGGACTTTTCAGTAGCAAGAGCCAATTAATTCCCCGCTTTTCTGATTAAACCACTTTGAGCTAAGGTTCTATCACTTTATGTTTTTAGAGTTCTGGCTGATACAAGGTGTTTTTTTTTGTTTGTTTGTTTGTTTTTTTGCTAACATTGCACTTATGGGCAAGGTATTGTTCTAAGTACTTTACATGTATTAACTTATTTAATTCTCCTAACAATTCTATGAATCTAAGTAGAGTAACATTATTTCCTTCATTTTTTTAGCTGTGGAAACTAAAAGACCAGAGAGGTTAAGTCACTTGTCCTAGGGCACAAAACTGGTGAGTGATAATGTGGGATGCAAATCCTGTCCAGAACCAGGGTCCGCATACCTAACTACTACTGCCCCATTGCAGCCAAACCTATCTTAACTAAAAATCCAACTTTTTGACCCAAAGCATTACCATCTTAGAATGGACAGTGCCCACAGACCTATTAGTTTTACCTGTCCATATCTCATCATATGCAAAATAAGGATAATGGTAGTTTACCTACCTCATAGGGTTCCTATGAATACATGTAAAGCACTTAAACAGTGCCTGGCAGTTAGAAAGCATTCAAAAACCAGTGGTCATTATTATTATTATTACTCTGCAGGCCACTAAAGCGCAGCTGGCAAATACAATGCAAATAGAGGAAATCTGTCTTCTTTCATCTCTATCTTTTGCGTGAAGAGAAGAGATACCATGGGTGACAGATGAGGAGGCTTTCTTGTCTTTGACCCATTGCTTAAGCTGTTTCCTCTGCCTGGGAGGCACCATCATTGTCCCAGTGCCTGTGGAACACTACCCAGCCCAACTACCACCTTTTCTGTGAAGTCCTTCCAAATAAAAGGCTCCCTCTCACTGCTGAATTTCTACAGCATATAATTTGTACCTTGTTTTCTGCTCTGTACATGCCCAAGCCCCCTAACTGGTATTGTGAGCTCCCTGAAGGCAGGCCTCAGTGTTTACCCTGGGGCCTCTGTTTCCCCTTGTGGGCCCTAGAGAGAAACAGAATCCCTTGAAAAAAGTTGAGAGCTCTGTGGAGGTCCCACACTTATCAGCTGAGAGGGGCTGCTAAGAGAAGCCAACCAGGACGGGGTGAGGCAGGTCACCAGGCAAAGGACTTGGGGTAGCTCAGAATCAGGGAACAGTACAAAGAAAAGTCAAAGACAGGAGCAGGTGGAGCAGGAGGAAAGGCAAAGGGTGCTGTGTGGAGAAAAGAAGGGAGGTGAGAGGAGAGGAGGGGGCAGGGAAGGTGTGCTAAACCTGAATGGGGACTGAGACCTGAGGAACTTGGAGATTTCTGGCCAAATGCAGAAGGCTGAGCTGCTTATTCTCCAGTGATTTTCAATAACTTACAAAGGGTAGAGCCCACCTTGTGAGATTCAGAGAACAAAACACATCCCGTACTTTCAGAGTTCCCAGTCCAGTGAGGGTGAGTGCACAAGTACATGAAAAACTACAAGGCTGAAGGTGAGTGGTGTTCTAAGAAGTACAATGTGGGTGGAGGGGTCTTGGCAGTAGGACACAAAATGAAAAGACCTCCTGAGGGTGCCTATGTGGAGAGACAGATGGACTAGAAGAGATGGATATGTGTGTTCAAAGAGGCAGCAATTTAAAGCAGAAGCACCAGTGGCTGGGGGATGGGCTGGAGGGGTAGCCAGAAAGAGAAAGCACTGAGGAACATCCGAAAAGACCATTCAAAGGTAGAATCTGCAACAACTGCTCAGAGGATGGAGTAACCTTGTGGAGAAGCCAAGATCCTTTCAAGGTAGGTAAGGAATCTTTCTGGAGGATAGGTACTTTGTAAAGGGGATTCCTAGGAAACAGGAAAATATCAGTGGGCTGTAGGGCAGAGGCATATCCTATCTTTCAGGGAGTTTTTTGTGGGAAAAAGAAAATCCTCCTAGAGGGCACGGGTTCTCAAACTTGAGTGTGCATCAGAATTACCTCAAAATTACCAGGAGGGTTTGTTAAAACTCAGATTGCTGGGCCCTGCTCCCAGGTTTTCTAATTCAGTAGATCTGAGTGGGACTCAATAATGTGTATTTCTAACAAATGCTGCTGCTGCTGCTGAGCCAGGGACCACACTTTGAGAACCACAGCTACAGGGGAAGGGATTCTTTGGTGAGGAGGCCCTCAAAGGGGAAAAGGAAGAAGGCTTCTGAAAGGCAAACAGGGAGAATCTTGTCTCTAACGAGGGTGTTAAGGGTCTCTCGATCACAGAAGGGAAGAGGGGTCTATGAGGATGGGACCTAAGAAAAATGGTCTGAAGAAGAGATCTTGGAGCATTGGGATTTCAAGGGGGTGGGAAAGGTGTCTCTCAAAAATCTTTACAAGGAGACACAGAGGTGCTGGGAGAACAAGTCTGGAGAATGTTGCGGGCCTCTGAAGGGATAATGGGGAAAGGGGGCCCCCTGAGAAAGGTCTCTGAGTTGACTTCAGAGGAAAGAGAACGGGGAAATGAGAGGGTGTAAATAGGAATTCTTAACTTAGAGGGTAAATCTGATAGGGTCCTCAATGTTTTTTGAGGATGTCAGAAGCGGAATCTGAGACAAAGTTCTGAGGAAGTCTCATGAAGTGCTGGAAGTGGGTGGCTCATGGAGGGCAATTTTGGGGGAAAATTCTCTAAAGACTGTGTGAAGAAGGTGTGGTCTTCTGAGACTGGTCCTGGGTGTCCTGGAGAGGGATGACAAAGGCATCTTTTTAGGAAAAACTCTTCAGAGATCTCAGGTAAGGAGAAACCTGAGTAGTCCCCAGAAGAGTATGATCTGAGAGCATCAGAGGCGAGGATTTTTCAGAAAGAATTCTAGGACTTGTTCTGAGAGTTATTTTGGGGGAAATTTAGGTGTGTGAGGGTCTTCTACAGGGGATTCTAGAGGATTTAGGGGACCTGTGTGGGCAAGTTCGGGGAGGGAAATCTCTATATTGAGTCAAGGGTTTTGGGGTGTCAGGAAGGTCTCCGGGGAGCGATTTCAAGAACATATGTCAGGAGGGCTCCAGGGGGTTGCTGGGGTCTCTAAGCTGTGTGTGTGCTGGGGGAGGGGGCGAGTCCTGAAAACCTGCATCTCAGAGGGGTCACCAAGAGAATGTTAGCGTCTTACAGGGGTTGTGAGGAGGACCTTTAGAAAATTCCTCTAAAACCGATCTGCAAAGGGGGATTCTGAAGTGTTAGCAAAGGGCAGTTTCAGGGGATCTGAAAGAGAAACCACGAGAAAACTTTTCAGCATCCTTAAACAATTTTTGGACCGTGTGATGTGGAGGGCTGGAAAAGATGTGGGGTATGTAAAACGGGTTTTGGAAGAGCCTTTTGGAATGAGGTTGAGAGTCCTCTGGAGATTTCAGGCAATTGCTGAGAGTTTTAGAATGAGAGGGGGTGGGGAAGGGGGTTCTGGGGAAGATCATTGGGCTACATGAGAGTGATCTTTAGGGCATTTCAGGGTGCTGAGGTGGAGGGAGGGGCCAGGAGGCCTCTGTGGGAGACTTTTGGGATCTGTGGAAAGGTCTAGAAGAATACGTGAAGGGGGAGTGTGTACGAGAAATGGTTGAAATATGGTGGGGAGTGGAATGAGGTCTTCCAGGTAAGTTTTTGGGATTTGGGGGCATTTCAGAAAGTCTGTGAGGAAGGTTTATTTTGAGGATATGGGAAGGAGATCTTCAGGGAAGACGATCGGGGGGGCATTCTGAAGGATTTCTGGGAGGAGGGCTCAGAAACGCAGGAGGTATGAGCGAAAAATCTCTAAGGAGGTTTCTGGAATGGGGTAAGCGGGAGAGAAAATTCTTAGGATCCGGGAGGGGGAAATCGGGGTGAGCCTGCTGGGTTGTGAGAGGTAGGGCTCCGGGGGAGAGTTCTGGAATGGACGGGGGTCCGGAGGGGGCCTTGGGGAGGTGTGCAGGGCTCGTGAGGGAGGCTCCTGGAGCAGCTACGAGAGCCACGCTGTGGAGTGGACGAGGAGTGGCCTCCGCGGACTATTTCTGGAGACAGGAGGAGGACTGGGGCTTCGGGGCCAAAGGGCGGGGGTCTGCGAGGACGGCTGCTGGGACCCACGAAGGGCTCGGGGAGGCGGCTCCATGAAAGGGGTGGGCTCTGCGGGGGCCATATGAGGCGCACACGGGGGCTCAGCAGGGTTTCCGGGGCTCTCCGAGGGGGATGTGCGGGGGGTCCTGAGGAGGGGCACCCGGCCCTTCGGTGATCCCGAGGGCGTGAGGAGGATTTCGGAGGGAAGCTTCTGCCGGGGCCCAGGAAGAAGACTGGGGACGGGCGCGGGGCTTCTCCCGTGGGCCCGGCCCCCTGAGGCCCGCGCTCCGCACCCGGCCGCCGCCGCCGCCCGCGGCTCGGGGTCCCTGAGGGGGCGGGGCCGCCCGCGCGGCCTGGGTCGTCCTGAGGGGAGCCCTGCGCGCCCTGACCCACCGCCGCCCCGCGCCGGCCCGGCTTGAGACTCACCGCCTCAGCCTTCGCCTCCGCCGCCGCCGCTCGGGCCTCCTCAGGCCACCGCCGCCGCCGTCGCCCCCTGTCCTGCCCGCGAGCTCCCTCCCTCCTCCCGCACCGACAGCCGCCGCCGCCGCCGCCGCCGCCGCCGTCGCGCTGCGTCACCGCGCCGTGCGTCACCGCCCCTGGCCCCGCCCCGACGGGGGCCGCCGCGCGCCGGCATTAGCTCACGCCCGGGTGACGAACGGCGCGCCAGCCAACGGGCGGGGAGGGCAGCCCGAAGGGCGGGAGGTGTGCGCCAAGACAGGCGGGGTCCCGGAGAGGAGGGGAGCGACGGGGGTGGAACGGGGCCCAAGAGGCCCGCCCTCTCCTCAGCGGGATTGGTCGGACATGGGGGTGACGGGCAGTCGGCCAGGCCTGGGGTTCGGGGCTAGGGGGCGGGGCAGGGGCGGGGCGCGCCCGGCGTTGCCCAGGGCAACGGGTCCGGTGGCGCCTGGGATTGGGCCTCCAGGCCCGCAGGGGGCAGGCTCGCGCGCGTCCACCCCAGCGTCCCAGAGCGAAGTCACAGTTCCTGATTCTGGCGTTCCAGGCCTCCTCTTCCCCGCCCCTCGGGTGGCCTTCCCCACCCAAAGCTGTCCTCGGTAGGCGTCTGCACTCGGGCTGCTGGGGATTCGGCTTTCTGATTGCGGTGTTCTGAGTCTGCCGCTTCCTCTCTCGGTTAGGAATGGCGAGGCGAGATCTAGCCTTTAGGGTGGGAAGAGAATGCGCCGAAAGCGCTCGGGATGAAGGAGGCCGTCAATAAACGGGAGTTGTTGCTATGACTTTGGTTGTGATCTGCGCGTTCCACAAACTGTCCTGGGTCCGGACGAACTAATTAGAGGGGCCTGCGTTCAGAAGGCTCTCGGTGACAGTGATCTGGCTTCTTACAGGCACTCAGAGAGGCAGTCGGGGTGGACGGTCGAGTTGAAGACAGGGAGGGGTGAGGAACAGGCAGAGGCCAGTTGTTTGGCCACTGGAGGGAGTTCGGACTTGTCCAGAGAGCACTAGGGAGCCGCGAAGGGCTTCAAGCCGGGGAGGATCATGGTGAGTCGGGGATTTTGGAGAGATATCTCTGGCTTATACATGGACGGCGAATTGAAGGGAATGAAACTGGGGGGTAGGCAGCTGGGGGCGGGGGTGGGGACGAAAGAGGGGGCTTTGCACGAGGGAGGGGAGGAGGTGCAGGTGGGAGAGAGGCCCAGGAGGTAGAGCGAACGGGCCCTGAGACTGGCTGGCCGTGGAGTGGAAGGGGGAGAAAAGTTCAGGACCAGGCCCTCTGGCCGGGAGATTGGGCCCCAGAGGAGAAAGAAGCAGGTTGGGAAGATACTAAGCCCAGTGTGGATGCCCAGCAGCGAGGTCCAGGAGGTGCACAAACCCCGGTCTGGAGTTTAAGAGAGAAATTGAGGCTGGAGAGCAAGATTTAAGGATAGTCAAAGATGGTCACTGAGGGTGTGGGAGTTGGGGGTCTAACCCAGGGAGGATATGAAGGATCATTGGAGACAGGGACTGAATAGAACCCTGAAATGGGAAGGCAGCATTTGAGCAAAGGAATTCACACTGTCGATGAATATTGAGAAGGGCAGCCAGAGAGAGGAAAACCAGGAGAGTGTGGCATTACAGGAGCTTTGAGGAAAGGCCATTTCACTAGGGTGGGGCTGTGTCACAAACCCCATCCACTACCTCCTGCATTGAAGCAACAGCTTTCACACTGTATAGAATCATAGATGCTGGTTCATTCATTCATTCAATAATATTTCTTGAGTATCTAATATGTACCAGGCTCTGCTTAAGGTGCTAGAAATACAATAGGCTGAGGCAGTGGCTCATGCCTGTAATCCCAGCACTTTGGGAGGCTGAGGTGGATGGATCACTTGAGGTCAGGAGTTGGAGACCAGCCTGGGCCACATAACGAGATTCTGTCTCTTTTTTTCTTTCTTTTTTTTTTTTTTTTTGAGACGGAGACTTGCTCTGTCACCCAGGCTGGAGTGCAGTGGCGCGATCTTGGCTCACTGCAACCTCTGCCTCCCAGGTTCAAGTGATTCTCCTGCTTGTCTCCCGAGTAGCTGGGACTATAGGCGAGTTCCACCACGCCTGGCTAATTTTTTGAATTTTTAGTAGAGACAGGCTTTCACCATGTTAGCCAGGATGGTCTCGATCTCCTGACCTCGTGATCCGCCTGCCTTGGCCTCCCAAAGTGCCGGGATTACAGGCGTGAGCCACCGCCCCCGGACGATCCTGTCTTCATAAAAATAAAAAATAAAATTGGCCAGGAATGGAGGTGGGTGCCTATAGTCCCAGCTACCTAGGAGGCCAAGGTGGGAAGATGGCTTGAGCCCAGGAGCTGCAGGCTTCGGAGAGCTATGATTGCACCACCTGTACTGCAGCCTGGGCAACAGAATGAGACCCTATCACAAAAGAAAAAAAAAAATGAAGATTGAAGACATAACACTGTATGGAGGCTCAGGAGAGAGATCCAGGAGGCATGGGGATGTTGGTGGGACAGGAGCTGGGGGGAGGACAGCTGCAGAGATGTAGGGTGAAGGGGGTAGAGTCCAATGCAGGGTTTGGGGTTTGCCTACCACGGAGGGAGGTGGCCAGTCACAGTGAGTCTAGGACTCTGAAAATTCTCTTTTGTTTGCTTTTATTTTCTCACTGAAATACATATGGTTTTTGTGTGAACTACTTTCCTTTTATTTCTTCTTTATATGACAGTCAGGACATCATATTGATTTTTTTTGAATTTATGTGTGTAAGTAGGTTATATTATCTAGGAATTTTATTTCAGGATGGGAAAAAGGGGCAGTGCAAAAACACTCAATAGAAAAAAATGGCTGGGCACGGTGGCTCATACCTGCAATCCCAGCATTTTGGGAGGCTGAGACGGTGGCTCATTTGAGGTCAGGAGTTTGAGACCAGCCTGGCCAACGTGGTGAAACCGTCAACCCCACCCACCGCCTCTACTAAAAATACAAAAGTTAGCTGGGTGTAGTGGCATGTGCCTGTAGTCCCAGCCACTCTGGAGGCTAAGGCCGGAGAATCCCTTGAACCTGGGAGGCGGAGGTTGCAGTCACCTGACATCGCATCACTGCACTCCAGCCTGAACAGAGTGACATCCTGTCTCAAAAAAAAAAAAAAAAAAGTGGGTACTAGTCTGACAGGATTGAACTGCCTTGTTACTTGTTGCGGGGCCTCATAGGCCATTGCAAGGCTAGTGAGGTTGGAAAAAATGCAGAAAAAAGTCACCATTACCTAGGTAGTTTGGGGTTGCCCCTCTGGTCCCCATTTTGCCATTGGCATAATGGGCGTCAGTCTGACCAGCAAAAGACTAAACTCCCATTTCCAGCTCTGCAATTCAAATATCTCAGATGAGGGTAAATCCAGGAAGGCTGACTGGAGGAGGGGAAGAGCAAAAGAGTTCATTTTTAGTATCTATTGCGTCTGCCATGCTGGCAGCTATGTGAAGGTATTTATTTATTTTAATTTACTTTTATTGAGACAGAGTCTCATTCTGCTGCCCAGGCTGTAGTGCAGTGGTGCGATCTCAGCTTACTGCAACCTCTGCTGCTTGGGTTCAAGCGATTCTCATGCCTCAGCCTCCCCAGTAGTGGGACTACAGGCTCGCACCACCACGCCTGGATAATATTTTGTATTTTTAGTAGAGACAGCGTTTAGCCATGTTGACCAGGCTGGTCTCCAACTCCTGACCTCAGGTGATCCACCTGCCTCAGCCTCCCTAAGTGCTGGGATTACAGGTGTGAGCCACCGCGCCCGGCCGACGTGAAGCTGTTTATATCCTCACCACAATCTCAAATCAGAGAGGAGAAGTTACTTAGCTAGGGTCACATAGCAAGGCAGCTTTCGAACCCCTGGTCTGAGCAATTTCCTGACAGGTCCTGGCAGATGAGAGGAAGGAAGGAGGGGGAGGAGTCCTCGGTGACAGTTGTCCCAGCAAGGGCATAAACAGGATGTGGTGTTGGATGAAACCTTCCTCCTCCTGCACAGCCCGCTCCCCACAGCCTCAGGCCCCACCCCTATAAGACAGCGGAACTGAGAAAAGAAGAGGCCTGTGGACAGAAAAACCATGGTCAGGGGCTAGGGGTCCTGTGGGAAGAGCTGGGGCTGGGGTTGGGGCTGGGGCTTGGAGGACACCTGGGCGAAGGTCAGGCTATGGGCTGCAGGTCACGGGCCGGGAAGGGGACCCAACTGTGGTGAACAGCCTGGCTGGGGGAAGAGAGAGACGGTGGCTTCGGGTTGAGGACCAGGAAGTGGCTCTCTTCGTTTCCTTGAGAGTCACCCAAGGGTCCCCATGGAGAGGGCAGGAACCCAGCCCCTGCTCTGTACCCCAAGCTGAGTGCCCTGGTGAGGGATACCTACTCTGAAAGGGTACATTTTCCCAATGTTCACAAATGCATCAGATGGGCTGGTGTGATGCTCCTCTTCTTTAGTGGATGGAGAAACTGAGGTTTGGGGAAGGGGTGCGGGCCAAGGCCAGGCCATTTCAGCTCTTCCTGGGTCCCTCCGGCAGTCTGACTCCCTGGTGGTGTGCGAGGTAGACCCAGAGCTAAGAGAAAAGCTGAGGAAATTCCGCTTCCGAAAAGAGACGGACAATGCAGCCATCATAAGTGAGTGACATCTTCCCCCTCAGAAGGATAGGAGGGCGGTGGTGGGGGCAAGTTGGGAGGACTGGGCTTGTGACCCCCATGGATCGGAGAGGGGCGTGTCTAACCCCTGTGTGCCACCCCTCCCCAGTGAAGGTGGACAAAGACCGGCAGATGGTGGTGCTGGAGGAAGAATTTCAGGTGAGGGGGGCAGTGGTTGGGACTGGGAGGTACACAGCGGGACTGGGAGACCCAAGTGGTTGGAACTAATACTAAGAGCCTGGCATGGGGGTCAGAAAGACCTGGAGATTGGTGGGGCGCAGTGGCTCACGCCTGTAATCCCAGCACTTTGGGAGGCTGAGGCTAGTGGATCACTTAAGGTCAGGAGTTCAGGACCAGCCTGGCTAACATGGTGAAACCAAGTCACTACTGAAAATACAAAAAGTTAGCTGGGTGTGGTGGCGTGTGCCTGTAATCCCAGCTACTAGGGAGGCTGAGGCAGGAGAATCGCTGGAACCTGGGAGGTGGAGGTTGTGGTGAGTTGGTATCTTGCCACTGCACTTCAGCCTGGGCCATAGAGCGAGATTGTCTCAAAAAAAAAAAAAAAAAAAAAAAGGAAAGAGAAAAAACCTGGAGGTTAAGTTCTAGCCCAGTCGTGACCCCCAGCAAGAGACTGGCTGTATGTGTCTCTATTTCAAGTGAGGGGCGGGGGTGAAATGGGGAGAATAGTACTTACCTCATAGGTTTGTTTTCACATCCAATAATTAATTCTTGTAATGGGTTTAGAACAAGTCCTGGCACTTAGTAGATGCTCAATAAAGTGATGATGATGATGATCTTATTAATGATGATAATACTTTATTGGCATTAAAATGAAAGAATTTCCATAGACGTTAAAATGGTAGCTGAGCATGGTGGCTCACGTCTGTAATCCCAGCACTTTGGGAGGCTGAGGCAGGAGAATGCCTTGAGCCCAGGAGTTTGACCAGCCTGGGCAACATGGTAACACCCTGACTCTACTAAAAATACAAAAATTAGCCAAGCATGGTGGTGTACGCCTGTGATCCCAGCTATTCAGAAGGCTGAGGTGGGAGGGCTGCTTGAGACCAGCAGTTTGAGACCAGCCTGGGCAACAAAGCAAGACCTCATTTCTACAAAAAACCAAACCAAACCAAAACAAAAACCAACCAAACAACCAACAAAGCAAGACCTCATTTCTACAAAACAAACAAACAAACAAAAACCAACCAACCAACCAACCAACAAAGGGTAGACCTCATTCTGGTGGCCTCACGTCTTTATCAGTGACAATGATAATCAGGCTTATTTCCCTAGTGTTGTGATAAGGATTTATCAGGGAATCCATGGAGACTGAGGACTGGGGCTCCCTCAGGCCCTCTGACAGACAGTATAGTGAAGCAGTTAGGATTTGAACACAGATTCAAATCTCAACTTTGCTACTTTCTATCTGTGCAACTTTGGAAAGTGCCTTGGCACCTCTGGGCCTCAGTTTTCTCAGCTGTCTAGTGGGCATAATGGTAGGACCTACTCCACAGACTTATGGGATAATTCCATGATTAATCCGTGTGTGTTTCATAGAACAGTGCCTTGGCACGTGGTCAGTGCTCACCTAAAGGTGGTCATTTTTTGATTTTTTTTGAGATGGAGTTTCACTTTTTTTTTTTTTTTTTTTTTTGAGATGGAGTCTCACTCTGTCACCCAGGCTGGCATACAGTGGTGCAATCTTGGCTCACTGCAATCTCTGCCTCCTGGGTTGGAGTAATTCTTCTGTCTCAGCCTCCCAAATAGCTGGGATTACAGGCATGCACCACCATGCCCAGCTCATTTTTGTATTTTTAGTAGAGATGGGGTTTCGCCATGTTGGCCAGGCTGGTTTTGAATTCCTGATCTCAGATGATCTACCCACCTTGGTCCAGGAAGTCCTAGGGTGCTGGGATCACAGGCGTGAGCCACCACACCTGGCAGAGTTTTGGTCTTTTTTGCCCAGGCTGGAGTGCTATGGCCCCATCTTGGCTCACTGAGACCTCCGCCTCCTGGGATTTCAAGCAATTTTCCTGCGTCAGCCTCCCGAGTAGCTGGGATTGTAGGTGCATGCCACCACTTCTGGCTAATTTTGTATTTTTAGTAGAGACTGGGTTTCACTATGTTGGCCAGGCTGGTCTTGAACTCCTGACCTCAGGTGACCTGCCTGCCTCAGCCTCCCAAAGTGCTGGGATTACAGGTATGAGCCACCACGCCTGGCCTCATTCTTTTTCTTTTCTCCTGTTTTCTTGCCTCAGAACATTTCCCCAGACGAGCTCAAAATGGAGTTGCCGGAGAGACAGCCCAGGTATCCTGGGGGAAGAAACGGTTGGATCAGGCCATGAAGGGACGGGTGATGTTGGAGGAGCAGGCTGAGGAACTGCTTGAGTTCCAGCCCTATTCATGAACTTAGAATCTCTGTGTTTGGCCGGGTGAGGTGGCTCACGGCTATAATCCCAACACTTTGGGAGGCCAAGACGGGTGGATCACTTGAGGTCAGGAGTTCAAGACCAGCTTGGCAACATGGTGAAACCCTGTCTCTACTAAAAATACAAAAATTAGGCTGGCATGACGGTGTGCAACTGTAATCCCAGCTACTTGGGAGGCTGAGGCAGGAGAATCGCTTGAACCCAGGAGGCGGAGGCTGCAGTGAGCTGAGATTGGACCATTGCACTCTAGACTGGTGACACAGCAAGACTCCATCTCAACAAAAAAATCTCTGTGTTTGAGGACAGGAGTTCATACTGTAGAACTTTTTGTTTGTACAGCAATATTTTATTGCAGAATTTTACACTGATAATTTACATATGATAGTGGTTTAGAGTCTGCTTTTTTTTATTTTCGTAATAATTTTGTGGGGTTTTTGTCTCAACATGACACTGGCTTCATTTTGTTTTTTGAGGCAGAGTCTTGCTCTGTTGCCCAGGCTGGAGTGCAGTGGCCTGATCTTGGCTCACTGCAACCTCTGCCTCCTGGGTTCAAGTGATTCTCCTGCCTTAGCCCGGGTGACAGAGCAAGACCCTGTCTCAAAAAAAACAAAAAATTTTCCTTCATTTTCAATGTTTGGGAACACTGTAGATTATTATTATTATTGTTATTTTATTTAATAAAATTTTTAGAGGCAGGCTCTCGCTGTGTCACCCAGGCTATTGGGCAGTGCCATGATCCACGCTTACTGCAGCCTCCAACTCCTGGGCTCAAGCCATCCTCCTGCCTCAGCCTCCCAAGTCACTGGGACTAAGGCGGTGCCACCGCACCCTGCTAAAGGCATGACTTGGCTTTTAATGATAGGTAGAATGCTGGGCGAAGTCACATGAGCCTGGTGCTTTTTTTGGTGGAAGAGCTCTTTGACTATTTCTATGAAAACGGGTCTCTTAAGATTTTTCGTCTTGACTGAATTCATTTTGGGTGTCTAGGATTTTGATCCTCAATCCCAGACTGTAAGACTTGGCCAGGATCAGCTTCGTGGGCATGTGATAATTACACAGGGCCCCGAACCCAGAATGGGGCCTCACACGTGGGGGTTAATGGTCACACTCTTTATAGTTTTATCTTTGAATTTCTGTTTTGTATGAAGTCAGTTGGGACAATGGGCTTCACATAGAGGTACTGGGGCCTGGAGCTAGGTTCACAGGCAGTCCACCACCTGGCTGCCTCCCTGAACAGTTTCTCCGCCACCCACTCTCTGCACCCACCCACCCAGAGATCACCGCTGTCCTTCGGCTTCCTGCTGGTGTGGGGAGGGTCAGGGTCCCGTAGGCACCCCTTGCCTGACAAGTTACAGGGTGTTCCTGTGAGTGTCTGCTCTGTTTCCTCATGCCCAAGGGAGCACCACTTTAAATAGCAAATTAAAAAGGACCAGCTGAGCGCAGTGGCTCGCACTTGTAAACTCAGCATTTTGGGAGGCCAAGGTGGGAGGATTGCTTGAGGCCAGGAGTTCAAGACCAGCCTGGGCAATATAACAAGACCCCCCCCCCAACCCATTTCTACTAAAAAATTTTTTTAAAAGGCCGGGTGCAGAAGTGGCTCATAACTGTAATCCCAGCACTATGGGAGGCCAAGGTGGGCAGATCACTTGAGCTTAGGAGTTCGAGGCCAGCCTGGCCAACATGGTGAAACCCCGTCTCTGCAAAAAATACGGAAAACATTAGCTGGGTGTGGTGGCATGCGCCTATAGTTCCAGCTACTTGGGGGCTGAGGCAGGAGGATCCCCTGATCCTGGGGGGGTCGAGGCTGCAATGAGCTGAGACCACATCACTGTATTCTATCCTGGGTGACAAAGTGAGACCCTGTCTCAAAAAAAAAAAAAAATTAACTGGACATGGTGGTGTGCACCTATAGTCCCAGCTACTCTGGAGGCTGAGATAGGAGGATGGCTTGAGTCCAGGAGTTCAAGACTGCAGTGAGCTGGGATCATACCACTGCACTCCAGCCTGGGCAACAGAGTGAGGCCCTGTCTCTAATAAACAACAACAAAAGACCGTGATCAGTCTAGAGAGAGACTACAAAAGAAAGGAAAACAATTTTCCTGCTTTTTGAACTCGAAGCCCCACATTTTCGTTTTGCAGGAGGCTTGGCAGATTATGTAGCCATCCCTGATCACAGTGCACTGAGGTTCTAGTGCACTGGATGGTGCCACATAGTGGGCGAGCACTAACACTCTGGCACTGACTTTCCCAGGTTCAAATCTCTCCCCTATCCATAGAACCTGGGGCAAGTGACTTTGGGCCTCAGTTTTCCCATCTATACGATGGGGTTATTAATAGCACCTATATTATAAAGTTATTGTGAATCAAATGAGCATGATTATTGTTATTATTATTATTTGAGATGGAGTTTCGCTCTTGTTGCTTAGGCTGGAGTGCAATGTTGCGATCTCGGCTCACTGCAACCTCTGCCTCCCGATTTCAAGCAATTCTCCTGCCTCAGCCTCCTGAGTAGCTGGGATTACAGGGGCCCACCATCACACTCAGCTAATTCTTGTATTTTTAGTAGAGAAGGGGTTTCATCATGTTGGCCAGGATGGTCTCAAACTCCTGACCTCAGGTGATCCACCCGCCTCAGCCTCCCAAAGTGCTGGGATTACAGGTGTGAGCCCCGTGCCTGGCCCTATCATTATTTTTAATCATTTGTTGTGTTTGAGGTCAGTACCCTGGCTCCCAGACATCAGTCCTGGGTTCTCAGACTCAGCCAACATTTCAAGGCTGTGGACTCAGGTAATGGCTGTTGAGCCTGGGCTGCAGGCCAGAGTCCTGATTGTCAATTCCGTTTCATGGTAGGTTCGTGGTTTACAGCTACAAGTATGTGCACGCGGATGGCCGAGTGTCCTACCCTTTGTGTTTCATCTTCTCCAGCCCTGTGGGTGAGACACAGCTCTTCTCCTCAGGAGAGGGTCTTTGATTCTCTGTGGGGTGTGTGTGTGTATGTGTGTGTGCAGGTGTGTGCATGTGGGTGCATGTGTGTGACTGTGCAAATGTGTGCAGGCACCTGTGTTAGAGTGTGATAGCCTGTATGTGCCTGTGTGAGGGTGTGTGTGTGATGCATGTGTAATGTGTGAGGGCACAGAAGTGGAGGTGGGGGGCTCAGATTCACCAAGAGCCCACCCGTCCTCAGTCCTGGGGCCTAAGTCAACCCACCTTTTCCTTTTACCTAGAAATCCCCATCTGGCCCCTAAACCATCTCCAGAGACCCTCAGAATAACTCGACACCCCCAAGCCAACCTAGAAACTGAGTACAGTGCAGGGACCTCCTTAGAAGAGCTCCTAGGACCTTGGAAAACAGCAGGGCCTTCAGGACATTACTAGAGCTTTAGAGGACATGCCTGGGTCCCCACTCATTGCCCTTCTCTCTTCCACGCAGGCTGCAAGCCGGAACAACAGATGATGTATGCAGGGAGTAAAAACAGGCTGGTGCAGACAGCAGAGCTCACGAAGGTTCAGCCTGGGGCGGGGCTCCACAGTGTTAGGGAGGGGTGGTCTGGGGTCCTGGGTCTGAGGGAGGAGGGGTCTGAGGGAGGACAGGCTACAGTCCTCACTGTCTGTTTTTTTTTTTTTTTTCCCCCCCAAGAACCAGTCTCGCTCTGTCACCCAGGCTGGAGTGCAGTGGTGTGATCTCAGCTCACTGCAACCTTCACCTCCTGGGTTCAAGCGATTCTTCTGCCTCAGCCTCCCAAGTAGCTGGAACTACAGGCCTGTGCCACCATGCTTGGCTAAATTTTGTATTTTTAATAGAAATGGGGTTTCTCCATATCGTCTTTTTTTTTTTTTTTCTTTCTTTCTTTTTTTTTTTTTTTTTAA